GGCGCTCTCACTCCTCCATAGGTTGTCTTTGTACTGACCCTGGAATAAAAATGGCTTCGACTGCTGAGGCTGAGGCACAGTTAAATTAGGGTGATGTCCATAAACATAAAAGAAATAAAAAAAATAACAGAACAGCAAGTCTGTCTGTAACCATTGTCTGTATGACAATTTATTGCATTTAATATCTTAAGTCTGATGAACCTGTTTAGGTTGAATTGATTTAACTGGGCTAGTTTTACACTTCCATGACTCATAAGATGGATTTGAAGTAATTAATCAACCAAAGTGCAGTTCAATCACATTTTTTAAGGCAGCAGGAACTTGTGTTTCTAAGCTGAATGAACTTAAAATGATTTACAGTTCAGGATTCCTGCAGCAGCTGCAGACGAGCCAGAGGGAACTTGCCAATACCTGAGTGCAGAGAGTCACCGCCGCCCAGCCCGGGGCGAACGAACGCAGTGGTCACAGTCGCCACGCTATTTCAATTTTGCAGCTGCCCTCAGCTGAAAATAAAGATAATCTGTTTGTTATATTTCAGTGCTGATCCAAAGATGACACCAAACTTCCTGCGTGGGCGCGATAGTTTGCTGTCAGGGGCCCTAAGTGGCTGGTGATGGTCACTGTGGTGTTTGGGCAACTAAACATTACCCCGTCTGTCTGGCAGTCACTCAGCCGGAGATGGTTTACCGTGTACTCGCAGCGTTTGAAATGTCAAGTCCATTAACCTCTCCAAACACTCGACTCTGGGCTTTGTTAACTGGTCAGCAAGATTACTTTGCAAAACGCACAATAAAGTGACATTTAGAAACTGCCCTTGCCAGAAAAACAAAGACAGCGTCGGCTATTGTTCACCAAAAAAAAACAAAAAAAAAGCAGAGAATGGTTGGGGGCTTTAATTTACCTGACAAGGACATGTTGTGGATGAGGAACAGAAGTAGCATGTTGTGGTGAGACCACAGGAACTCTCAGAGAAGGTTGAGGGAGATGGAGTGGTGAAGAAAAGACTTGAACAGTGACTGGAGCCAGTTTCTTCTGTCAACCATGACCACAATCTTTTCTTTTTATTTTATTTAAACCACGTTATCAAACACTTTGTGCCCAGATCTCATCAAACCTCACATGAAGATGGACTTATTGATCGGTGTGAATGATCTCCTTGATTGGATGTCAGCTGACTCCTGGTCTGGTGGTGTGACTGGTTCTGGCCTTGTGTTGCTGTTTTTTTTTTCCAGTCTTCATTATTCTTGTCCAGAGCGCTTGTTGTTTCAGCAGCGATGTCGTCTTCTTGCTGCGTGTGATGTGGTTCTCCTCTCCGGGCTCTGCAGCTGTAAAACTGCACATCTCTGTGAACTGTCCACCTTCTGTGGGCTGATGTGGTTGTGGTGGCCAGAGGACAAAGAATAAATGAATCAATAAAGAAAGCAATAATATTTTCATAGGGAACACCCCTCGTGAAGCTCACTGGAAATCTGTTTTTGTGGGCTGAGTTTTTTATATTATTCCTCCTGGTAGAGGTGTTTTTTTTCCAGTCGCTGTCCTTTCAGCTCCTGAAATAATATCCTTTGATTCTGTGGCAATGACAGCTGTAACAGAGTTTGGAGTTTCAAGTTGGAGGTGAATTTGGGGTAAGCAGGCTGGCGGCGTTGCTGCTGACACGTCACGCCTGAACCGAATGTAGACAAATCCAGCAGAACACGAATCAGCAAAACACAGACTTCTGAGTGTGATTTAGAAGCAGGTACGAGTGGTTTGATGATTATGTGGCACAGTCATCACAATTTGCTTCAAGGCTGTTTCATGTTTTCATCAGCACCAGCTGGCCTGAGGCTGGAAACGACCAATAAGACAAACGTTTGATAGAAAGTCTGATCGTTCCACTTAAATACATCAGGTGCAAATCACCATGCAGCACACAAGGACAAGGCAACATGAGCGTGCTCCGTCCCTGGCTCACCAGCAGCCTGTCGTGCCTTGATAATGGAGCTCCTCCGTCTTTGCCGTTCTCCCCGTGGCAGCTGTGCAGGTCTTCTGAGGCGCCTCCATCTGCAGAGCTCCCCTGCTGAAGGCTGCAGCTGGCGGGTGCCCTTGTGAGATGGCCTCTGTGGTCTGGCCTGCATGACATTTAGAATGAAGACGATACTGTAGGAGTCCTGACCCGCTGAATCACATGATGGTATGTAGGAAATGTACTCTGAAGAGCTGTTAGCAGTAAGCACATAATGAGATGCGTGTTTTGCCTCCAAACAGCAACAGGCTCATCGTGTTTTCTGTTGTAGTTTAAGAGCACTTGTATGAAGTAAACTGTACTTTGTGATTAAACTTTTGCACTCGTTTACAGTTCGGGCACCACTCAGGTCTCCATCAGGAATATTTTAGATTGAATATTCATACATGTATTTAAACTATTTCTATTAATTAGTTTAAGTAGTGAACTCTGATTTCATTGACCTCCAGTTTCCAAACAAAGAAATACACGATGGTAATTATACACAACACACTTATTAACTACTACAAGCAAACAATGAACAACAACGACATAACAAACAACAAACAGGGAATAAATAAATACAGGTAAACAAACTAATTAATCTGCTGGATGAGTTGGTTCAGGAGCAGAGACACGACGACACGTTTTCATTGTTGTGTTGAAAAAGTAAAAACACTAAAAGTCAAAGCTCAGAGTTAAGAGACGTTTGCACTGAAAGAAAGTAGAAACAAAAGAACTTCAAACCCATCATGAAAGAAGAAGGATCCCCAAGAAAATAGTAGAAAGAACCCCCGTTGCATTCCACTGACTTTCATTTGTACTCAAAGTTTTGGAGCCAAGTTCAAATCAGCATCTAAACAATAATGGACGTGTTCCTCCCAAGGACTGGTCTGGACCTTCACTGTCCAGGAGAGGTCAGAGGCCAACACCTTCAGTACAGTCGTGACTCGATAATCCGACACTAAATGTAAAACCTTCTTCTATGTCGGATATCAAGGCTGTCGGATTGTCCAGACGGAGGTCCAGATACGAGGAGGGCTTGATGCTGGAAGGCTCATTAGTTGTTCATTATTGTTCATAGTTGTTATAATAACTAGTAGGGCTGGTCCCAGTAGAACTTTCTGCTCTCTGGATATTCAGGCCCAATTAATGATGAATATCTGAATATTCGGTGTGGTCAGGGGACACTTCCACCCCGGGGCAGCGCTCTGACGGGGTGGAAGTGTCCAGAACACACAGGCAGTACTTGGCTGCTGATGCTAGTTTAGTTAGCGCTCACACTTCTGTTTCCTCCATCGGTGGCGGCGGGGGAGTGGCAGATACGCTCCACCGTTACCATCCATGTTTACTTCCATAAACACTGAGCACGCTCGCTGCGTGTGACGTCGTCGTGTCCTCTTCTGCGCATGCGGGACACTTTTGGCTCGTATGAAGTTCACACAGCAGATCACATACAAGTCGCATTGAAGTGGAAACGTGAAGGAAGTCACAAAGAAATCCTCATTGAGCATCAAGTCCTGCAGTGTGAACGTAGCCAATCTGTGGGATTGTTCAGTCAGATAATACGCCGTCATCCTGATTGGTGACATTAAATGTCATGTCGGAGTCACAATCCAAGGCTGTCGCTATGTTAAGGCTGTTTTTATGGGTTCTGGTGGTTTTTCCTGAAAACCTGTCAGATAGCAGGTTTAGGATTGTTAAGGGTCGATTATCCAGTCACGACTGTATTTGATTTGAGCTAATTTCTTAAATTAAAACGTAGACATATGTTCAAATTGTAGAATTTCAGGATACATGAAAGGAAACTTCTAATATAACTAAGAACACAAGCATGTACGTTCAATAATAAGAAAAATATGACTTTAGACTGATGTAAGCTGAGGATAAAAGCCTCTGTGTCTTTTATGGCAGTGACAGAGAGAAGTGGGTTTTGTTCACAGACACTTCAGATGAGAGGTGTTCTTCAGTCCTGGTCCTAACGACACAGATCACTGAGTCCAGTGATATTAAAGTTCCTTAATGTCATGTTTTGAAACCCATCATTTCATTCTTGTATGGAAAGTTCTGGGTGTTTGGAGGAGAGAAATGTCAGGAGGACACAGTGAAGAATGCAGCCTCCTCCAGCAGGGTCATAAGAGGTCATTCTGCTGTAAACATCCCATGTGGAGATGCTCCACTTGGATGGGAGCTTTGGGTTAGCTGTCTTCTGAAGTGGTCGCCCACCAAGCTGTGAGAAAGGGAGCTGTTGTTCTGCTACGCTGCCCTGTTCTACCTGTGATTGATCGCAGTCGTCTGATAATGACCAACTTATTAATCAGTTCAGCAGAACCCCTGACACCTTGTGAGGATGATTTAAAGCAAAAGGCTTTTTTTTATTTTGTGCGGGATGGCTGCAGGAGGGCGATGCTGCTGATTGTATATCATGTCCAGACACAGCCCAGCTGCTCCTGGACCACGTGGACTACCTGGGCTCCAGCTCATGATCAGCTGTGTGTTGGTAGATGATGAGGCACCAGATGAACAGAGGGGGAAAAATTATTGAATGATGTGTTTTATTTTTATCTATTTATTTATTTTTTTACTTGGAGTCTAATAATGCACGATCAAATACTTCACCCTGGTTTAGTAAACAAACCATTTTATCAACTGATCACAGTTCAACACTGTAAAAGTCTGTAATGGTTCCATATTGATGACGGTACAGTAGAAAGTTTAACAGGTTTATCTTGTCATTTATTTGTACATTTACACTCTAGCAGTGTGAGTTTCTTACTGTCTTTCTTGTGATTTAAACCCATACCTGCTCATGCAAACTAATCAAACATTGATTGACTTAACAGTTAACTAATGGGTACATATTGACCAACACCTTGGTTAAACTACAGCAGAACTGCAGGCCAGGATCTCAAAGCAGAAAGCAAATGAAAGGCTAATCTTTAGTGAGCCTGTAGCACTGCTGCAGTTGCTTTCCATGTTTCCTGTGTGTGAATGTCCTGTTCTTAAATCCTTTCAGCTGTCTGCTACCTCCACATCCAGAGCTGCCTTTCTGCAGTGCCTTCGTTGGGGGATTTGGTGTCCCTTCCTGGAGTCAGCTGACTGGAAGGGGGAAGAGATACAGCTTGTTTTGCAAGGAGGTGCAAAGCCAAACCCTCATGGAGTCATGGTCTACAGCACAGAGGTGTCTGCCAGAACTCAGAGCCCTGCACCACTCTCAGCTCACGGCACAGTTCACGTAACACGACGGCACAGAGGAATATCTCACATGTAGAGGTGTTTAAACAAGGTGCTTTTTTCAGCACCTTTCAGCGCTGACACAGATGCTTCCAGGAAGACAAAACTTCCACATTATCCACATTGTTGTGTGTTTTTACTGCTTTTCCACCTGTTCAAGGTCAGGCGACATCATCCGTTAAAGCTACTTCACGGCACGCTTTGAGGCCCAAATAATTGTCTGCAGGTCTCATCGTTTTAGTATTAAAACATTTTAAGGGTGTAAAATTCATCACATTACGATGACTTAGCTTTTCACACCTTTGCTGTGAATTGTCACACGACGTGGATATTTGGAAATAACTACACGTCATTCCACCACTCATTCCCTCTTCCTTCTGCTGGCTCATTCACTCCCTGCAGAATCTGAACTGTTCACTCTCCAACTGTTTTTGTTGTGTTGCTGAAGTGTCTGAAACTTTCTCCTCTCAAGGAGGTCTCGGAAGCGAAGGATACAATAACGTTCTGGCTGTCATCCAGCCTGGAAGGGAAGGCGTCTAGCCCAAAGGCGTCTCTGAGGACGAAGCAGGAAGACGTGTCCCGTCAGAGGAGATCACCTTCATCACCTTCACCAGGTAAACATAATCAAGCAATCTATAATGGCTTTCTAAGCAAATATTTATACTTGGAAAGGAATAAGAATCAGCTCATATGAAGAGTTTTTCTCTCCAATAAAGAGGTAAGAGGCTTTTCATTGGTCACAGCTTTGCAGGAAGTTTAGTTTCTCTATGATAGATGGTTTGCTCATAGGACCAGAGAGTGTGTGGTCTGTTTCTGCTAATTGTTTGAGAGTGCACCTGAAGCATGTGGCAACACCCAGGTGTAATCAACCAAAGTTCTGAGCATCAGGCATCCAGCTAACCTGTCCTCTGCTTATAACAGCCTCCACCTCTCCAGCGTTATCTCAGCGGCACCACCTGCTCTCTGCATTAGCACGCTTCATGATTGCAGTCTTAGGGGAGCAAAGGGATGAAGCCAAAGTGCTGGGTGAAGAGTCTGGGTGTCCGCTAGGGCCTCTTGATCTTGAACAAACCTTACTTTGCATCCTCATGTGATGTCAGCTCTCAGACGGCGTCGTCAGCTCGTACTAGTCCAATACTACCCAGTGCTGATATTTTTGTGTGTTGTCACTCATTTTTGCATAATATTGCTCAGATAGGCTCATCAGCCGAGAAGTCAGGTTGACAGGTTGTGAACAAACCAGTAGTGATTAGGTTGGAGTTTGGTGCATTGTGGCTGGAACGGCAGCTGAAGGTGGAGTCCTTCACTGTCTGGTCCCTCAAACTTTGAGGATCTCTCGGTGCCGATCTGTTGTGGTAACGGTGGAGCTTAGGCAAAACATGGAACCGTCTGTTTACTGGTTGATCTACGTTCCTACCTTCACCTATGGCTCACCACTAGAGATAAGGTCGGTCATGTGGGAGGGGCTCAGAGCAGCACAGGACAGGAAGAACTACAACTCCTCCAGCATCCCGTCCTCTAAGGTGCAGACATGAGTGTAGAGGACAGAGGAGACAGCACACTTTCCTGGGGGGGCGTCAGTGCTGATGGTCCAAGCGCTGGATGAGTTTGTTCTGTGAGAATTTAGGGATGATGTTGTTGAGCTTAGGTCAACAAACAGAACCCTTGTGTATGTCCATGCAGAGCCTAGATTCTGCAGGATGTAGTGCAGTCCCATATTGCCTGCATCATGTACTTACCCAGCAGGCAAACAGGGGGTCCAGCAGGGGTCCTTGGAAGTCTTTTAGGTGGGTCAACACCAGTCTCTCCAAGGATTTCATGACTACAGATGTCAGAGCGCATGGCCTGTTAGTCATTTAATCATGAGATAAAGGTTTTCTTGGGGACTGGAGTGAATCCAGATCCATGTTGATGCTGTTTAGAAGCTGCAGTTTGTCTGTATTGTTAGTTAGAGAGCAGACATTTTCCAGATGGACAGAGGGGGGAGCAGTTTGGAAGCCATGCTGAGTTTAACAACCCTAACGTCTACTGCTCCTCATGTCAAGAGCTCCTGCTCAACTTTCCATCCATCCATCATCTATCCACCGCTTAATCCTCCGTAGGGTCATGGGGGGCTGGAGTCTATCCCAGCTGACTAACCCTAACCCTGGACAGGCCACCAGTCTATCACAGGGCTACACTTCCCGAGTTTAGAATCAAACAACATGAAACAATTTAGAATCACCAAACAGCCTCAACATGTTTTTGGACTTTGGGAGTCCAAGTCTCTGGAGAACCCGGTGAGAACCCACACTGCACAGATAGAAGTCCACACAGAGAGATCCCGGGTGTTCTAACCGGGATGCGAACCGGGGATCTCACCAAACCTTGCAGAGGTCAGACCAAAATCCTTTCATGAGGCAGGCTCCAGTTCTCCCCAGGTTCAAATATATGTAATTATACCAATGTAGCCTCACATGGCCACGTATGTAGAAATGTAGGCTTATTGCACTTTTAATTAAAATTGCACTAGTTTGTCGGCCACCATGTAAACCTGGGAATGAATTACTAATACTTCAGATTGAGTATTAATTAATTACTGCCTTGTGTTGATCAGTCTTATGATTAAAAGTAGAGATCTCTGATTTCATTGACCTCCGGTTCCCAAACAAAGCATTACATGGTAGCACCAATGATAATTATACACAACTCATTTATTAACTAACACTGCAAACAAACAATAAACAACAACGACATAACAAGCAACAAACACTGAATCAATGAATACAGGTAAACAACCTAATTAATGACCAGCGATCGTCACTCAGACAGTCGACAGAGCAGCGATCGATTGAGAAGCCAATTCCTAAATTCACTCGTTTAGCAGAAAGAAAATGATATTTGTGTAGCCGCTGCAGGTTGTGTAGCTGTGATGTGCATTGTACAATAAGAAAGCCCAGCTAAATTAGCCACTTCAGCATCATGTCCTTGCGTGTAATTTTGCAGGAGGTCTGACTGCATCCTGGGTTCAGCGCCACACGGTACAGCTGTGGTTCTAAGGAACACAAACAAGTCCCAGCGTTTTCTGTCCCTCCATTAGCAGAGTGATAATAGGATGCAGTAAGAACATTCACAGCGCCGCGGAGATGGGCCTGAAGTGTGACAGCCTTGTCTGAGCAGCTTTTATCTTCAAGTTTCTTCAGACCTCTATGAGCTGGATGTGATGGAGATCTGTACCAGATTAGTGCTGCTGTGCTGCAAGCTCATCACATTTCTTCACGCCTTCTCAGACTCGACGAGACGACGCCTGCTGACAGCAACATGCTATTTTCACTATTAGCAGATTGTGGTGGAACAGCTACACTCTGCATCTGACAAATGTTTTCATTTATTGTCTGATTTTAAGGGAGTGACCAGAGCTGCACCTGTTAACTGTTCTACCGCATCTTTCCAAAAACAAGCTGTTAAGGATCCGCCCACTGGAACAAACTTCTGATTAAATATTCCACATCTTGCAAACAGCAGAGATAAATGATGTGCCACCGTCCCTTATCGAAACCCAAACTGCTGATTTGCTCCGTTGTCTGTCAGTGAGTTGATTAAAAGCGCTGTAAACACTACATACGGCCACTCCATCCCAGTGACAGCAGAAAGAACCGGAGTGGACCCGGTTCGTATTCTTAATGATTTCCCTTCTAATGATGCCGTTAACTTATCTTGGGAGAGAAGAATAGTGTTGATCAGGGCCTACTTCATGGCTGTGTGGAGAAGGCTGTTGGCAACATTTATTAATGACATTTTAATCAGTGTTGAAGTGTCCTCAGAGGGTTGCCCAAGAAGCCTGGATGATTTAGGCTCGTGTTCAGAGAAGGATTGTATCATGTATCTCTGTCATTCGCTTTCATTTCAGCACCTTAACCAGCCTTGATGTTGTTTTCTCTACGACTGTGTGGATGGACAGACGTGGAGCTCTTTCCTTATTTACTTTCAGAAATACTTTAGTGCAATATTTCTGTCATCCTCTACCAGACAGTTCTGAGCTCATTGCACATTTTGAATGTATTTTTATATGAGGTGAGCTAATACAGTCGTGACTGGATAATCGACCCTTAACAATCCTAAACCTGCTATCTGACAGGTTTTTAGGAAAACCCAACAGAACCCATAAAAACAGCCTTAACATAGCGACAGCCTTGGATTGTGACTCCGACATGACATTTAATGTCACCAATCAGGATGACGGCGTATTATCTGACTGAACAATCCCACAGATTGGCTACGTTCACACTGCAGGACTTGATGCTCAATGAGGATTTCTTTGTGACTTCCTTCACGTTTCCACTTCAATGCGACTTGTATGTGATCTGCTGTGTGAACTTCATACGAGCCAAAAGTGTCCCGCATGCGCAGAAGAGGACACGACGACGTCACACGCAGCGAGCGTGCTCAGTGTTTATGGAAGTAAACATGGATGGTAACGGTGGAGCGTATCTGCCACTCCCCCGCCGCCACCGATGGAGGAAACAGAAGTGTGAGCGCTAACTAAACTAGCATCAGCAGCCAAGTACTGCCTGTGTGTTCTGGACACTTCCACCCCGTCAGAGCGCTGCCCCGGGGTGGAAGTGGTCAGAACTTGCACAAACGCACCAGTTAATTAGACGTGAAGTCCAGCGATGCGTCGTGTTCTAACAACACACTAGTTATTATAACAACTATGAACAATAATGAACAACTAATGAGCCTTCCAGCATCAAGCCCTCCTCGTATCTGGACCTCCGTCTGGACAATCCGACAGCCTTGATATCCGACATAGAAGAAGGTTTTACATTTAGTGTCAGATTATTGAGTCATGACTGTATTTACAGAATTATCTTGCATTCTTCAGTGCTTTAAATAAAAATGGAGCGTTGGAGTGGGATTAGTGAGGCGATAACTATTTATTGCGAGTATTGGAAAGTTTATCTTTTGGGCAAATCTGCTTCATCTTTCTGTGATCTCTGGCTGTACAGATTATTTACTTCATAACATGGATTTAGTTTTTGGGGATTTGACGGTTTTCATGTCTTCATTGCCATTACAAACGTATTGAACTCTTCCCAAAAGGGGATCATTTCCCTACTAATAAGATGAAATACCTCCTGCTTGATGACCAGTCAAATCCCTTCAGAATTTAATTGTGATGTCTAATAGTTTGCATTGAGATTTTTCTTTTTTCTTTTCTTTACATACATTTGGGGGCTTTTGTAATATTTTATAGAAATATGAAAGGTTCTCTTTGTATTTGTTTCTGTTTTGAATCAGTTATTGTTTTCATTACATATATATATATTTAACTTGCCTTCTTTTGAATGTTTCAGAAGATAATTTCTCATCACAAAATGTTTTTAGTCCAACCCGTATTTCAAAGCTAATATTTCCTCTGAATTTATAGCATACTTGAGGATATATGACTAACCCATTAGTCAGGGTCGTGTGCCATTTCTCTGAGGTTTGCCCATTTGTTGAATACTTCAAGGGTTTTGCGTGAACGTCTCCAGTTCATTACAGCATTTCAAACACACTGACTCTGCTCTGTATGTTTTTTTCATTCTGCTTTTCCTGTAAATGGTTCGTTTTCCAGATGATGCGGCTGCGATTTCTGTTTCTACGCTGATCCATTTGACCTCTGTGGTTTTTTTTCCTCTCATCCCAGAGTTGCGCTAATTCACGTCTTTGATGCATACATGCATGTATGAAGAGCTCGCTGCGTCTCACAACCAAACATTTGTTAGAAAGAAGCAACACACTTGACTCATATCAACATGCACCTTTAACTTATTTATGATGTGCATTAGCGTGACTTCTACTGAGCGATGTGGAAATTCTCATCAAGTCCGTACGTTTTCATGGATCAATAATTTAGCCGCTGAGTTCTCTGTTGTGTGTGTGAGCATCACTCTGTGTCTAATGATAAGCTGAGAGGAAGAAAATCTGGAGGAGGTCTTGCTGTTTTGACACCGATGCTCTTGAAGGAATTTTAATGATGCACCATCTTTACATGCTGAATGCGTTCTGGGTCGGTCCCCCGAGTCTCGGACTCGTACAGGTGCTCGTATCCAACATTTTATTGATCACAAATTATCGGCCAATCGCACATCAATCCAGCTAATGATGTGAGACGCATTCTCCATGGGATCGAGAACTAAAGCAGCGAGAAAGTGGAAACCCCCTCCAAAAAACCAAAATGGCTGCCAGGGGGGGTGATGCCAAAGCACATTTGTGACAGCGAGCCAGCCAGTCCCACACCACGTCCACTCTGTGTGCATGTAGTCTGAACAGATGGGAGCTACAGTACGACACCCCAGGCAACTTAAGTAATTTCCAAAAGGCCAGTCAAGCCGAGCACAGAGAGCGAGAACGAGTGGGAGAGGAGGACAAAGAGATGCTAGAAAACCTTTCATTTCAGCATTACCATGGCTACCGACCAAAAATCTCAGGAAGCATTGTTCGACTTTAAACTCAGTGTGGCGGCTAAATCCCAGCCTGCCTCCTGATCTGTGTGAAATTGGATAGATTTATTATGTTTGTACAGAGTTGCGGTCTTCCAGTGTTCGGCGGAGTTATTTACTTCGCCGGAGTTCTTCAGCACACGCCGCCACGTTGGACTTTTCTACCTCAGGACGCCAGTTCGCTGCAAATCCAATCAACGGGAAAGCAATTAGAAGAGATGACATTTTACACTGAACTCTTGTCTGTCACAAACTAATATTCCATTAAATGCCTACCCAAACTATTAAATTAAGTGTGCTGCCAGGTGCACGGAGCATGTGGAAGATATTATAATCTTGTTAATTGAGCTTGTTAAACACCGAGCTGAAGATGCTTGTACATAGCTGTGTGACACGAAGACCTCATCCAGGAGATGACGTAAACAGGATAGACTTTACGAGCTGGATTGGTCTTTATCTTCTCCCTCTTGCTTGTGTTTTCCAGGTCAGAAAACCATTCCAGCGGCTTCTCCTCCAGAGTCTCCTCAAGGCCCCGGGGTAAGACACTTTATCACCTATTGAGTTTTACAGGCGACCTCTAATACGGCCCAATTACAGAAGGTTCTGTCTAAACTTTTTCACCACAAGCTGTACTCAGATGTCCTTCAAATCAAACAAGTTCTAATAATTTGTCATTACCAGCTGCATTGATCCTAAAATAAAATTAGCAGCGACTTTAAATATCTGCGTTTTAGAGCCTGAGTGCAGTCCTGATTCAGTTCAAACTTGTTATTTAGCGTTTGACTCGTGTGAGCGTTGTCACAGAGAGCGCCGCCGCAGCCCTTTGCATCATCAACACTTCCACTAATCTCTACAAACAGACACCTGCAGATAGCCGACGGCCGAAGCAGCCGCTTGTGTGTGAACTGCCAGTCAGCATTCAGCCAGACAAAGCAAGGACGTTGATGCTGCTGTCACACAGCACCGTTCATTAAAGAGCTGTTTAAGGAGGCAGCGGTACCGATACCAGTGGGCCTATGGAAGTTTTCACTGTTTCCGTTTGTCTGTTGCCTTTTGTTTAGATGTAGATTAAAAATGAAAGCATAAAAAATACTTTATAATTTAGAGAAGGTTCAGGAAAAATCTGCCACTCCCCCGCCGCCACCGATGGAGGAAACAGAAGTGTGAGCGCTAACTAAACTAGCATCAGCAGCCAAGTACTGCCTGTGTGTTCTGGACACTTCCACCCCGTCAGAGCGCTGCCCCGGGGTGGAAGAGTCCCCCGACCGCACAGAATATTCATCATTAATTGGGCCTGAACATCCAGAGACCAGAAAGTTCTATTGGGACCAGAACTACTAGTTATTATAACAACTATGAACAATAAATATAAACAACTAATGAGCCTTCCAGCATCAAGCCCTCCTCGTATCTGGACCTCCGTCTTGACAATCCGACAGCCTTGATATCCGACATAGAAGAAGGTTTTACATGTAGTGTCCGGTTATCCAGTCACGACTGTACTGACTTCATAGGAGAGCACTAAGAGTGGGTTTTAGTCCACAGCTGACCAGGAGTAGTTCCTGCTTGGACCAGGAAGCCCCTCTGGCAGCCTCCGTACATGTGTGCAGCTCTCCTCCCATGCTCTTTAGACAAGGATCATAAATCTTGACTAACCCTCACTGATGCTGTGTCTGGCTCGTCGGCACAGATTGCAGGTCAAGTCTATAAATTTGAAAAAAAAAAGCATCAGGGAAACGTGCTATCTGGCCCAGATCTCTCCCCAGCAATGTGATTAGGATGCATAACTGAAGAGAGGCATGTTTACAATTTTTAAAAAATGTTTTTCTTACTTTTAATCTTCTGCCTCACCTGGATGAGATTGCAGAAAGATTGGGGTACATCAAAATATCCTACAGCCAGAGTTTCACTGAGTAAGTATGCATCAGGCTCGGCGAACGAAAAATGGAAGTGTGTGGGCGAGTCGAAATTGTTCTTCTTGGTGAAAGACAACAAAATGTCTGTCTGTGTCAATCACGGATAACATCGCAGCTGAATCCTGAGAAAGAGGTAATGCTGATCATCATAATTATGCCTAGTTGCATCCATTTAGATTAAATGTCACATTAGCATCAGTGTATGTTTGAGGCAACTGATATAGCACTGATCAATTCAGCAGCAGCTTTGTAATAAATTTACAGCAGCATAATCATCCGTCCGTGACATCTGGTGTATGTGGGTGACGATGACTCATATCTGCTTCTCAGTGAAACACCAACATCGACCATATGTAACGTATACCAACAGTGTGTGTGTGTGTGTGTGTGTGTGTGTGTGTGTGTGCGCTGCTCGGTGCTGGTGGAGCTGAGCTACGGGGCGTAGCCGTCATCCCTCAGCCTGAGTGGAAGTGCTAGCGGAGACTGGGAGCGGTGATAGATGGTGCTCTCTCTCAGGATGAGGCCAGTAGCGGAGGAGGAGGAGGAGAGAGATCAGCTCTGTTTCGGTGTGAGCTCTCTGGGCCAGAATGAGTCGGCATTGTCGACTCATTTTAAATTGAACCAGCAGGGGCCGAGAGCCGTGGGAGTGCTGCACCCATGAACTCTGCAAATCGACCCTCATTTTGATTAAGCAGCGAGGGCGGTGGAAGCCTACAAGTGGGCAGCTCCCAGTGGCTGAGAAGAGACGACTGTGGTCATACTGGGCAGCTCTTCGGGGATGACATTAAAGGAAGGTGGTGCTCAGCTGGATGTATCGCTCTACGCGATGCTCTTAAGAGTCTTTTATCAACTCGAGGCTCCCAAAACATCTGTTCTATCAGATAATGTGCTGCTTTCACGGCGTGCTGCTGTTTGAATATGTTTCCGCTGCAAATCAGAAGATGCTTATATCATATTATCAGGGTTTAAGGGTGAGAGTTCAGCTGCACTCTCCCCAGGGAAACAATTAGCTGTGCTCCAGAGGGGAAACCCACACCACAGGACCAGAACCCTGGGCAATTTACTGGGCTGTTGATGTCAATTAAAAAAAGGAGAAGGAAAAACCAGAGACCACCGCAGCCACAAGTGGCAATGGCGGCACATTAGATTTAAAAACCTTACCGCAAGCAGAACGATCGGTCTTCTATCTACGACCAGCTACAACTGTCGGTGTACCACTGAGCAAGGATGCTTTTGGCAAAACTGCTTTTACTAAGTGACAAGTTAAAAAAATACTTGCTTCTAAACTGCATTAAGTCACATGTTTAGACAAATACATTTAATTCTGTACATGTCTTCAGCCGCTGTTTGGTTTCTAAACAGAGCTGAAAAATACAGACTCACAGTTATTGACGAGCTTGTGAGGAAAGTCAGACATCCAGCGACCAACAGCCTTTTTCTCAGCAGCTGGTGGAGACCAAAGCAAACATAAAGGGAATATTTGACCTGCATTCAGAGCGTGTTCAGAACCGTCGCTCCATGTAAAGGTGCTGTTGTGTGTCCTATCGAAGGTGTGAACATGTCAAACGATGTGTTTTCAGACGCTCCCCGGGGGACAAACGCATCCCTTAATGCAGCTTTACATTTACAGTAAATACTCAGTGAATGATGGTGCAGAGCAGCAGTCATTAGTGCCCCGGCTGCTCGCTGCGCGCACCATAGATATTTATCTGATGGCCATCCAGGATTCTACAGAAAGAAATGAAACAGAAGCGCCTGTGTGAAGCCATGCCACTGCTGCTGGCAGCCGCCCTCCGATTCATCACCAGCGTAACCGCCGCGAAATTCACAAATGCAGCCTCTCTCTCTCTCTCTCTCCGTTTTCAAAGATGCTGATATAAAAATACTCTTGTTCCGTCCTGCGATGATTTTCGCTGTTCCACTAAATTCTGCTTTCCTCCTCGACGTGGTTGTCAAGTGCTGACTAATCAATGGCATCCGTCTCTGAGACGACTCTGTAAACAAGCTGTATTCTCTCGCTCTGTCTGTAGGCATTGTTGGATCTGACAACTTTCTCCTGCTTGCATAAATTATTGATCCTCGACACTCTCGCTTTGCTGCGGCGCAGAATGCTAAAGATCCCGGGGTATTTATAGCCAACATTTGGAAGAGCAGCTGAATTTGTTTGCCTCCGCTGATGATGATGGTTTCTCTCGCCGGGCCGCGGTTGTGTTTCAGGGTCGTGCTCGCGCTCTGTTGACCCAGGTGGTCCTGTGGTCGGCGGGCCGAAGGTGAGGCCATGTTCCAGTTTGATGCTGGCAGAGGGCTTGCTCGGCAGCTGGCTCTGCCTCAGTCACATCTAGTTTCTGCTGCCTTCCTTCACAACGAGTCGTCGGTCCCTCGTCTTCTAATGAAAGAGTTTTCAGGGTTTGTGAGCGGTGGATGTCGTGTGGCTCTGTTTTAGCATCCCAGCCTTTACTGGTGTGTGTGTAGGGGGAAACATTTAGTAAAAACCACCATGTAGGTTATGCTTTGAAGTAAAGTTTTATATAATATTATTTAGATTTTTCCTCAAACAAATCATCTGTAGTTTCTGTTTCTGTTAAAGCTGGTCATGTATGCTAATTACGCCTCTGAGGTCGCAGCCCAACACTTACCTCCACTTTACTGATTACTGGAGGAAAAGTAATTTCACTTTTGTAATTGATCGTCCTGAACTTTCATTTCACAGATATTCCTCATGTCATGGCTGTAAAGGACATTAAACTTAAAAAATAGCGCAAGAAAGTGCAACCCGCCCCCGTGTGCACTTCAAGGACCTGTAACTCTGAAATAGTTTCAGTGTGAAGGTAAAACTTTGCAGACCTTTATTAAACATCCTAAAGCTGCTGGTTCTGAGGAGTTCAGGTGGGAGGCACTGGGTTTTCACTGAATGACCCAGTTAATCATGAAGCCGTTATGTCAGGGATTTGAAAGGTTCTTACAGATCTTCACTCGCTCCTCGCCCGTCGGTCAGCGTTGCTCTCGTCTTACCTGAATCTGTATCTCAGCGTCTACCTGCTCCTGCCTGCACGCCTCTTGCATCAGTCGCTGCTTCCTGCCTGCATTTGCGTCGTCCCTCTTGTGCTCTGTTGTTTTTATTTATTTATATTTGTGTCTGTGCGTGAGCCGATCCTCGTGCACGGTTCTGTAGACTTCAGCGTGAGGGAGGACAGAATCGTGAGCGTCCCAGATGATTTGAGCGTGCAGCAGGAATTGCGTGAGCGAGCAGGACGGATTCTCACGCTCATAATGATCAAAGCTGCATGTGCTCGGCGGTCTGAAGCTGCTCTGAGAGATCAGTTTGACCCGGACGCGTAGGGCCGCCCTGGTGAACCTTCTGCTTTCTAGTGGGCCAGGCAGGACGGGCTGGACCTTTCTTAACCACCAGGTGGAGACAGAGAGCAGTGTTTGGCGTCTGTTATCTTAAAAATCTGAACACACGGACAGTAAATAAAAATCACATTTGATTTGTTGGCAAAGCCTTTGTAGTGGTGTCATTTTGAGAGTAAGAGGAATTACAGAATAGTTCTTAGCTATATAGCCACATTAGCATCCTGCTGTTGAATCCTCTGAGCCTTGAATGATCAGAACCATTATAAC